AAAAAAATCGCGGGGGTGACGATGAAAAGCACCGATTCAGGTGCGTACAACCAGTTCCGCATAATTTTTCCGATCCCCTCAATTTGGTTTTTTTCGGACACGATGTCAGCAGGCATGGAGGGTCAAGGCGACAATTTCGTACAGGAAATCGCCGCACTCCGCGCCGAGAAGGAGCAAACCAGCGCAATGCTTCTACGAATGGAGGCGAAGATCGCGAACCAATCGGCATCCGCAGAAGCACCGGCGAACGCAGCAGCGACGGCAGCCGCAGCAGTTACGACACCGACATTTCAACCTGCAGCAGTAGCAGCAACAGCACCAGCAACACTGAATCTTGAGGCTGCACGCTCGAGGCTACTGGAGGCGTTCAATCCGATCCCAAAAGGCACGGGCGTCAGACGATCTATTGCAACCATCGAAATTTACTTCGAGGCCGTTGGCTGTACGACCCCAACATATTACTCGATGCGGATTCGGCTCACGACCACACTATTACGAGGCCCAACACTCGAATGGATTTGCAACAGTAACGAAATTTTCGGCAAAGGTTCATGGGCGCAGTTTCAGGCAGCACTCATAAAAAGATTTGAACCAATCAACTCGTCATACATGGTGCGACATCCAATTCACCGACATTGGCAATTTGGCAGTGTAGCACAATACACATAGCAGATGGAAAATTTTTTCAACCGCATCGACGACTTGACCAAAGGCGAAAAAATCCAGGCGTACACTGCGGGACTAAAAAACGAAGTCCGCCGACACGTGATTGCAACGAACTACAGTAACTACCGCGACATGGTTTGCGCAACAGAGAGGTTTGACGCGTTGAACAAGACTCAACCTGAAACACGACGCCACATGCCGAGCAGGAACTTCGACACGGAAGGATCGGCACCCCCCATGATCGCCGACCCGATGGAGATAGACAAGATCGACGCGAAGACCGGGCTCGGCGCAACAACCTCACCTCCCGGTCGTGACCCGCGCCATCTTCGGCTTCACTAACCCCAAACCAGTATCCAACCTCATGTTCTAAGGTTCGAGCCTAGTCCCCTCGCTATATCTTTGCTATGCTTTGTCATTTGCTCATTACTTGTATTCATTGTTTTGTTATTGATATTCTTGCACTCTACTCTTTCACAAATCATAACAAAATGAATATATCGGACAAGCTAGATGTGTCTAACTATTTTGTTTGTATGCGGTGCATATATAAATTGTTTTGTACAATCATAATAACAAGGTCTTCGCTAACTTTCTATTAAGTATAATCTTGAGGTTATGTTGTCGAAATCCAAACCACTAACCACTAACGTAAAGGGCTTGTTTGCATAACATATCCATAACTTTGTAGGTGAGCGTGCTTGTAGCGCTTCCCGAGGATCAATCTGGCACCCTTAGTGTAGGTCTTTTGACACCTCCCCTGTCATAATCAGCTAAGAGGTGAGTAGCTAGGAAAGTTAAGACAACAAAATGGGGGGTTTAAGAATGGGAAGGAAGAAGCATAAGCAACGGGCTAGGTTTAGGCAAGGTGCACCACAAACAGTTCTAACAGATGATTGTACTAGGGTTGTGGTGTAAGGTGCTTATACAATATATGTATTGATACCTCTCTTACCAGAATGCCCTATAACACGACACTAGTGGCAGTGATAGTGGCGTCAGCATGCACACGCATGCGGACTTTGACTGAATACCTTTTTCTCTAATGTCATGTTAGAATCTTAACCGCTAACCACTGAGATAAAAAGGTTTCTTTGCGTAGCTGGTGAGCTGCCCATAATCCCCCAGACAGGCATGCTTATTGCGGGTTTGACTTTATTATACTATATTGGTATGGATTTCTGATATTTCACACCTTTTTTCCTGACATTCTTGGTGTTTTGCACCAATGTCTTTTTCACTGATTAAAAAATTCAGAGTACTGCTTATTGGACAATGAATTTTCATACTAGATAAAGAATGAGCCCTGAATGCAATTATTTACCCCCTATGAAGTTTCCCATACTTCATATGTTACTGTGAAATGACCATTATAATCTCCACTGCTGTCACTTGCCGAACTTGGAGTTCGCAACCGGGCCACCCATTTTCACTGCTTTGCTAGCAGCAATCATCTTCGCCGAGGCTACACTCGGGATTTTGCCTTCAACAAAAACCCTTCCCTCAGGGCTTCTGCAGAAGACCCGCATGTGTTGTATGGCAAAAGAACGCATATGATTCAAAGATGCTACAGCTGTTGCTGTCACGTGGTCATAGCTAGGAAATTCATACCGGTAGGTTCCCATTAGTAAACCCTGCCTTAGTCTGTTAGTAGTTTCTGAACATTGAGATTTTTATAGGAATGTGTTTTAGGTTCCTGAGAAGTATTTTCTGAAATGTCAGCAATGGCTTCTAGCCCTTTCCAAGGATCAATCTGGCATCTCTTGAGCAGGTCTTCCGATATATCCCAACAACAATTAAGCATTTAACAATCTTTACATGTGTTGAAATAACCATTTCCGAAAGGCGCATCAATTAGTGCATCATTTCATAACGAATCATCGCCTGTACCGGCATCGCGTTAGCTCGTATTAAGCATACAACAAAGGTTAACAGTCGGGAAAGCCAACAATCATGACTGTTGACTTCCTCGCAATTGTCATCTGAGATTACACACTACAACATGGTAAGCTTAAAAGGGATCGCAATAGCTATTGCAACTGTAACAATGCCCGCAAAATAGTTAATAATGGAATGTACTGTCAGAATGAACGAACAGGAATGATTGAACTAGCAGTGAAATGAGTACAAGTACCTAACCCTAGAAATGTGTACCCCCTAAAGGCTAACCCACTGTAGCCTAAACAACCACAACATATATAATGTTTGACACACCCCCATAGGCAAAGTGGGGGAGAACAAGGGGTCACAAGACCAGTCAGAGCAAAGCAAAGCAAAAGCAAGCTCAGGGTGGACCTCAAGGATACCACACAAATTCCGAGCACAAGCAAGTGGTCACAAGACCAGTTCACATGCAGTTTGATAATATAGCAAGAGGTACAGTGATCACAACCTAGCAAGTGAAAGCATGCAGGTATATATATAGAGATCACAGTACAAGCAAAGTCAAGAAGTAAGCAAGTGAGGTCCAGTAGGTACAAGTACTTGTACAGAAGCGCTGATGGTCACAAGGCTGAAGCGCCTTGGTGAACACGTCAGCAGTGTTGGCCTGAGTGGCCACGTAACGCAGACAAAGCTGACCACGCTGCTGCAGCTCACGAGCCAGAAAGTACCGCAGAGCGATGTGCTTCGTTCTGTGCTCCAGTCTGTGCTCCTCACACAAGGCAATGGCAGCCTTGTTGTCGACGTACAGCACTGGAGGAGAACGAGGCCGCTCTCCCAAGTCGGTCAGCAGGTAGGTGAGCCAGCGTAGCTCCTGGGCTGCCATGGCTGTGGCGTAGATCTCAGCCTCACAACTGGAGCTGAGAACTGAAGAAGAACGTGTAGAACGCCAAGAAACTGAACCAGAGCCAAGGCTGAAGGTGTAACCCTGAGACGACCGCTGAGTGGCCTGGTTGTCCGGCCAAGAAGCATCTGTGTGCCCAGTGAGAACAACTCGGTCTCGCCCTCCAAGCACTAGCCCCATGCCCGACGTACTGCACAAGTAGCGCAACACCCTCTTAGCGGCATCCATGTGCTCCTTCCGGTGACGGCCAGGAGCGACATAGCGTGCAAGGATGCTAAGAGGGTATGCAAGGTCAGGTCGAGTGCAGGTCATCAGGTACACGAGGCAGCCCACAAGCTCTGGATACGGGCCACTCGGCTCTACGGACTCATCCGAAGGCAGAGCTGAGAGCGAGTGACCGGTAGGCAGAAGAGTGGACTGAGGCGAGGAGTACGTGAAGCCGAAGCGCTGAAGGACCTGCTGCACCATGTGTGACTGAGTCAAGGTAATGGTGCGCCGTGCTCTGTCCCGGGTGATCCGCAAGCCAAGATAGCTTGTCAGTTCACCCAGGTCTGTGCACGTGTGTCTCTTCTGCAGCTCCGACTTCACGTGGGCGAGAGCCTCAGTGTCAACAGTGGCAAAGACCAAGTCGTCGACGTACACGAGGATGTAGAACGGCGGCAGCGAAGTGTCTGTGCGCAGAAACAGCGACGGGTCAGCAGTAGAAGGCGCGAACCCAAGTGCCGCAAGTGTCGTCCTCAGTGTGTCGTGCCACTCACGTGGTGCCTGGCGGAGACCGTAGACCGGCCGCCGGAGGCTCCACTGGGTACCAGGAGGAAACGACCCAGTGAAGCCAGGAGGGCGGCGCAGCCAGATCTCCTCGTGCAGGCTACCCTGCAAGAAAGCAGTGCTGAAGTCAAGAGAGTGAAGCTCGTAGTCGCGCTGAGCGGCTATGTGCAGCAGCACCCGAAGAGTGGTCATCTTCGGGGTGGGGGAGAAGGTCTGGAAGAAGTCGACTCCCTCACGCTGACTGAAGCCTCGAGCAACGTAACGCGCCTTGAAGACAGGCGGAGAACCCGGCGGCCGCTTCACCCTGAAAATCCACATGCCACTGACGATGTTCGCCCCTGGTGGGGGAACTGCGTCGACGTAGGTGCCTGTGGACTTCCAGGAAGCCATCTCTGCGTCCATGGCTGTCTGCCACTGAGAGGAGTAGGGACCCGCTATCGCCTCTGCGTAAGAGCGCGGGGTCGGGATGTCTGGTGCATCCGGGTCTCCCTCAGGGGCAACTAGCATGGACACGAGATGAGGCAAAGCAGCAGCAAAGCACTGGAACTCCTCCTGCCTGTCCTCAAGGACGTCCGTGCCAAGAGCACACTCACCCCCGACGGACGGAGGACAGACAGACTCAGACGCAGCAACTAGGCTAGCGGCGTAGTCTAGACGACAAGCGGCAGCAAAGTCAACTAACTCAGCGACGAGAGCAGACGCAGCAGAGGACTCAAAGGTAGGGTCAGTGACAACAGTAGCGAGTAGACGCGTGACAGTAGGACGGGCAGCACGAAGGGAGTCAGACTCCGGGTCAGGAAGAGTAGGAAGAGAGGACGCAGGAGGAGACGGCAGAGGGACACGCTGAGGAGCAGTGGAGGGACGCAGAGTCATGTAGTGAGTGTCAGGGACAGGAGGAGGACGCTCACGCGGGACACGACGACCAGGGCGAGCAGTACGAACAGGCGACGTAGAGCGAGACGCAGGCGACACAGGACGAGACTCAGGCTCACGACGCTCCGTAAGACCTCCTGTGGGACCAGTGTAAGGAGAAGGACCAGGGAGCGGCGAGGCAGGCGGTAACTGTGACGGTGACTGGACAGGCGGAGGACACTCTAAGGAGGGAGCAGGACAAGGAGGAGGAGGCTGACCAAGAACCTGCTGAAGGAGCGGAACGAAGTACGGCCGGGGCCGCGCAGCGACTCCAGAACCAGTAGAGACACCACCAGCACCCGCAGCAGCTCCAGCAGCGCCAGCTCCAGGGTCCTCAGCACCAGCAGCAGCGCCAACGTCTGGGTCCGTAGCCCCAGCAGCAGCTCCAACTCCAGGGTCCGCAGCACCAGCAGCGGCTCCAACTCCAGGGTCCGCAGCACCAGCAGGAGCTCCAGCACCAGGGTCCTCAGGACTAGCAGCAGCCACAACTCCAGGGTCCGCAGCACCAGCAGCAGCTCCAACTCCAGGGTCCGCAGCACCAGCAGCACCAGTAGAGCCTCCAGCACCAGCAGCAGCACCTCCAGCAGCTCCAGCACCAGGGTCCGCGACACGAGGCGCGCCACTCCGGAGAGTGCAGCGCCGCTCGTACCACTCACGGATCCGCTCAAGAGAGGGCAGCTCCCGCTGAGGAGGGGAGGCACCAGCACCAGTCGCAGCTGCTCCGAAGAGAGAGCTCCTCCAGGTGTAGGACTCCCAGGCTCAGCACCCCCAGACTCAGAACCCCAAGACTCCGGACTCCGCGGCCCAGCACCCCCAGGCTCAGCACCCCCAGGCTCAGTACTCCCAGGCTCAGCACCCCCAGACTCCGCACCCCCAGGCTCCGCACCCGCAGCCTCCGCACCCCCAGGCCCAGCACCCCCAGGGTCGCACCCCCAGGCTCCGCACCCTCAGGCTCCGCACCCCCAGGCTCCGCACCCGCAGCAGGACGAGAGTCAACAGCTACCTCAACAGGCTCAACCGGGTCTACCTGGGACACACCTGAGGGAGCGGCACCCTGAGGGGGGAGGGGGTCTACCACAGCAGCACCAGAGGCGAGGGGGGGGAGCGGGGCAGTGCGGTAGGGGAAGGCGCGGTAGAAGGGGACGGACTCGTCAAAAGTGACGTCCTGAGAGGGCAGGACCCGGCGCGAGGTGGGGTGGTAAAACTGCCAACCAGACGCGTCAGGGACAAAGCCAAGGAAGACACAGGGAACAGCGCGGGAGGAGAGCTTGTCCGCGGTCGTTTCGCGGACAAAAGCTCGAGATCCCCAAACCCGGAAACGCGACGCATCGCCAACCTCCCCCGTCCACAGCAGTGTGGGTGAGGTCTCCGGCAAGGAGACACGGGGCCAGAGGTTGAGCTGATGCGCAGCGTACCGGACCGCAAACGGCCACAGAAAGTGGGGGGCAGCCGCATGGATCAAGGAGGTACGGGCGACCTCCATGACTAGGCCAATGCGGCGCTCCGCAACCCCATTCTGCTGTGGAGAGGCCGGAAGCGTGAACGACTGCTCAATGCCGTGCTCAGCACAGTAGGCTGCCAAGAGGTCGGAGGAGAACTCACCACCTCTGTCAGAGTGCAAGCGCAGGACAGGAAAGTCCGAGTGGAAACGCTCACTGAGCTGGAGACGAGCTCTGCGGATCCAAGGGATCAAAACATCAGGGACCTCACCCTTGGTGCGCAAGGGGAAGACCGTGGTGTAGCGCGAGTAGTCGTCAACAACTATCAGGAAGTACCTCTCCTGACCCTGACCACGGACGTGGGCTGGGCCCCACACGTCCATGTGGAGCGTCTGCAAGGGAGCAGTCGTCGGGGGAAACGAGGAGGAGTGAGGAGCGGCGCGCTGCCGCCCCTCGACACAGGGAAGACAGGGAGGAGCAGGCGAGGGTGGGAGGGGAGGGAGGACCCTGGGAAGACCAGAGACAAGGTACCGGGAGTGCATGGCACGAAGGCGCTGCACAGACGGGTGGCCAAGTCGGTGGTGCCAGAGGACAGTCTCGTGCGCCAGAGAGCGACACGAGCAGGGGGCCGACAGCTGACCTGACGCAGACGCAGACGCAGACGCAGCGACCTGAGGGGACTCAGTGGTCAGTGTGTACAGGTCCGACCCAGGCTGCCGAGTGAAGGTAGCCAAGTGGCGGCCCGTACGAGCACACGTGCAGTGTGTCACGCGCTCGTAGGCAGGGGTGAACTGGTGAACACCCCCGTCCTGGAGCGCACACCCTGCCACCAGGTTCGTAGAGAACGAGGGGAGGTGGAGACCTGACAGTGTGCCCGACGGGACCGCAGGACAAGGAAGGACAGTGGAGGAGGTCGCAATGACCGGACCCCCAGAGGGGTCAGCGAGGGAGACAGCAACTGGCCGAGCAAGCGGCTCAAGGGCAGTGCGGTCACGAAAGAAACAGCGAGAAGCACCTGAGTCCAGAGTGAAGGTGTGCAGTGCCTCAGTCGACTCAGTACCAGGGGGCGCAGACTCACTAGCACCTAGAGCAGCAGCCTCACCAGCACCTGGGGTAGCAGCCGCACTAGCACCTAGAGCGGCAGCCTCACTCACAGGACACGGCAGCTGCACCTGTCCATCACCAGAAGCTCCCGACCGACCCACTCCAGAGCGACTACCACTACGGCCACCCCGACAGCCCCAACTGGCGTACCACTCACGAAGCTGCTGGGGTGAAAGAGGACACTGCAGCTGCACCTGTCCACTACGAGAATCTCCCGACCGACCCACTCCAGGGCGACTACCACTACGGCCACCCCGACAGCCCCAACTGGCGTACCACTCACGAAGCTGCTGGGGTGAAAGAGGACACTGCAGCTGCACCTGTCCACTACCAGAAGCTCCCGACCGACCCACTCCAGAGCGACTACCACTACGGCCACCCCGACAGCCCCAACTAGCGTACCACTCACGAAGCTGCTGGGGCGTGAGGGACTCACGCGCACGACCCTGGAGCTGCATCTGGCCTCGCCAGGAGCAGCAGTAGTAGCAGTAGCGGCAGTAACAGCAGTAACAGCAGGAGCAGTAGCAGTGGGAGTAGAAAAGGCAGTAGCAGCAGTAGCAGTGCAGGTAGGGCAATGCTCACCAGTGGTCGGCACGGCAGGCGCAAGACGGTGGCGACCGCGGGGCCGCTACAACTGCAGGGCGGGGCCGGGCCGCAGCAGGGAGCTCCGCGGCAGCTGCTGCAGGGCGAGGCCGGGCCGCGACGGCAGCTGCTCCAGGTGCCTGGGGCGGCTGCTGCAGGTGCGGGCTGCTCCAGGGGCGGCTGCTGCAGGTGCAGGCTGCTCCAGGGGCGGCTGCTGCAGTGGCGGGCGGCTCCAGGGGCGGCTGCTGCAGTGGCGGGCGGCTCCAGGGGCTGCTGCTGCAGTGGCGGGCGGCTCCAGGGGCTGCTGCTGCAGTGGCGGGCGGCTCCAGGGGCTGCTGCTGCAGTGGCGGGCGGCTCCAGGGGCGGCTGCTGTAGTGGCGGGCGGCTCCAGGGGCGGCTCCACGGGCAGGTGGCGACGCCGCGGGCAGGGCGACGCGGCGGGCATGTGACGACGCCGCGGGCAAGGCGACGCAGCGGGCAGGTGGCGACGCCGCGGGCAGGCGACGACGCCGCGGGCAGGCGACGACGTCGCGGGCAGGCGACGACGTCGCTGGCAGGGGCTGCGTCGCGGGCAGAAGACGACTCCGCGGGCAGACGACGACGCCGCGGGCAGGCGACGACGCCGTGGGCAGGCGACGACGCCGCGGGCAGGTAGGGGCTGCGTCGCGGGCAGGCGACGACGCCGCGGGCAGGGGCTGCGTCGCGGGCAGGCGACGACGCCGCGGGCAGGCGACGACGACGCCGCGGACAGGGCGACGCGGTGGGCGGCGAGAGCCTGCAGAGGCGGCGCGCGGTCGGGCAGAGGCTGCGCGCGGGCCTGACGGGTCTGCAGGGGCGGCTCTCGGGCGTGACGGGCCTGCAGAGGCGGCTCGGGGGGGGCCTGACGGGTCTGCAGAGGCGGCTCGGGGGCCTGACGGACCTGCAGGGGCGGCTTGAGGGAGTACGAGGGCGCACAAGGGCGTACGAGGGCGTACGAGGGCGCACGAGGGCGCACGAGGGCGCACGAGGGCGCACGAGGGCGCACGAGGGCGCACGAGGGCGCACTAGGGCGCAGGTAGGTAGGTAGGTAGGTAGCGGTGGGCCCTAAAAAAACGGTCCTAGCGAAGGACCTGCTCTGATACCATGTCAGAATGAACGAACAGGAATGATTGAACTAGCAGTGAAATGAGTACAAGTACCTAACCCTAGAAATGTGTACCCCCTAAAGGCTAACCCACTGTAGCCTAAACAACCACAACATATATAATGTTTGACATGTACCCCTCAGCGCACATGACTTGCTGGGACAGAAGCTATATAAGTTACTTGTAATGCTCTGTTTTATCATCTTGTTGATTTATATTTCTATACAACAAAGTCACTTAATGCAACGGTGCACTTTCCTGAAGGTGGTTTTTTGGATGATATCGGCACAACAATGTGCATTCTTTGTCTCATGGCATTGTACAACAAACCAATATTGGCACCTTAATACTGATCACTAAGTAGGCAAATAAAGATCATACAATCACCATCTCATCAGATTATTGCCGGGACGTGAAGTGACCCTGAGGCTGCTAGCCGAGTAATCATTACAGGGTAAGGGAGGGGCGGGGCCAAGTGGCAGATTCAAACATTGACGAGCCGTCTAAAAACATTTCGACAGGCGTGTCAAGTGACCTTGATGCCACAAGCCATGATAACACATGCAATAAATTGCAACGGCAGGGAAGCAAAGGAAGTGGCAGATTAGAATATTATTGGGGCGCCAACAAGAAAACAATTAGCAGGGACGATCAAGTGATCCTGCTGTTGCAGCCTTGATAAAGGGTTGTGGTTGTGTCACTTATGGGTATTCTCAAAAGTGACACTAGTAAAAGTCATCGTTGCTGATACACTGACCCACTCTCTCCCCATCTCATAGGATCATCAGATCATTGCAGGGACGTCAAGTGACCCTGAGGCTACTAGGCGAGTAATCATAGTAGGGTAAGGGAGGGGCGGGGCCAAGTGGCAGATTCAAACATCGATGAGCCGTAGAAATACATTTGGATAGGCATGCCAAGTGACCTTGATGCTACAAGTCATGATAGGGTTGACTGCTATAGTGTTATGGGGAAACGTTTTAACTAGTACTACAAACTTAAACTTGGCAACACTTAACATCACTTGCGGCTCTCCGAGTGTGACAGATTGTCACCTCCTAGCAAAGGGGATAGAAAAATTACAAGTGAGTAGTTATGCCTTGTTTAGCTTGTAGGACAAATAAACTGGTCGAGCAGAGCTTCGGCACCACGTTGACGTTTCTACTCGAGGCCGCAGAAGTAGTAGAATTCAAGCGTTAAAGAGAAATATAATTAGATCAATTTCAATAAGTACAAGCACACATATACAAATAAATCCTACGCACATGCAAGAGCAAACATAAAATAGTTGTTTAAAAAATTCGCAGTATTTCTCCACACTGTATTTGAAAACGAGTACTCAACTCCTTGAGCTTCATCCTCTAATTGTTAAAAAGTATCTTCAATTTGAGCTTGAAGCAATTCCCCCTGCTGACTCAAATGTGTGCACCCATGAGCTCTATTGTAGCTCCAATGTAGCACTCATAACTTTCATGCGAGCAAACCGTTGTAAAATGGTTTTTACCGTTCCAAAAATGGAATAACCAAAGTGTACCTTAAAATGTGTTGTAGTGAATAGCAAATGTTAGTTGGTGCTTGTTGGGTGCGAGTTCAGATCCAGTCCCCAACAAGTCTAGCAATTACATTTTGCCCAAGCCCTTAGCCTACAACCAGCTAGAGAAAAGTACCACAGCCACCTACACAATCAACACTCCCCCTTGCTCGAGTTGGAGGTGGCTAAATACCAATGGGCAAAATCCTTCACTTCACTCCCCCTTGCCCAGTGAGGGGCGCCATCCACAGCATCTTGTCGTCAGAAGCACCAGCCCTCTCACATCCTGCTCAAGCACCATGCCAACATGGGGCTGCATCCCCATCAAGGACATGCACACACCATCCTGCTCAAAGGGAAGGGGTTTGGTTAGGATGTCTGCTGCTTGGCAGTTGGTTGGACACCATCGAAGGATCACCTCACCATTAGCCACCATCTCCCTGATAAAATGCCACCGAACCTGCATGTGCTTGTTGTGGCCACGCAAGCATGCATTCTATGCAAGGGCAATGGCAAACTGGTTGGCCTTAAATACTGGTACACCACCGGCAAACGCATGCCCAAACTCTCCAAACAAACGCTTCAGCCACACCCTCCTGAATGCACTGACACAAGCTGATGTACTCGCTCTCAATGGTGGACAATGCAACCACCGGCTGCCTCTTGCTTTGCCAAGAGATGGCTGCACCATTGAGGCAATAATCATAGCCGGTGTGGCTCTTGCGGTCATCCGAGTCTCCAGCATAGTCCGCATCACTATAGTCACCAACTTGACTTGAGGCTCATTGTGTGCGGGGAAGAAGATACCTGACTTCACACAACCTTTCAGGTACTTCAATACTCTCTTAGCAACCTGCAGGTGGAATGGATTGGGGCAAGACACCATCTTGGAGAGCTGGGAAACAGCTTATGCAATCTGGGGTTGTGTGACGTGCTTGCATACATGAGGGACCCCACAATGCTTTGATAGAGCTGAACCAACTTATTTCTCAGCAAGGGTTCCTCAGCATATGCATGCACGTCGAACCTTGTAGGGAAAGGGGTATACACGGGGTTAGCCTTAGAAAGGCCAAAGGACTTAAGCATGTTGAGAATGAATCACTCTTAATGAATCAAGATGCCACTCTCATCACGCTCAATCTGCACCCCCAAATAGTACTTAGCCTCCCCCAAGTCCTTCATGCGGAAGCAAGAGGACAAG